CTCTTAATCACTGAGCCTTCTTTCCAGCCCCCAAAACAAAAAGTTTAAACTTAAGACACCAATTATAAACTCAAGGCGATTACTAAGAAAACTATTAGAAAGAAACAATAAATGGAGATAAAATGCTACAAAATATTCACCCAACACAGATGAGGACACTAAGGGAAAGCTGGGGATGAATAAGTAACTAAAACAAAATCAAAACCATGGCATCCAAAACAAGTGGAGAACTGCAGGTGACAAGTCCTGCCTCATCAGCAATTACATTAAACATGAATGGGACAAAATGCTGCAGTCAAAAGAGCAGGATTTCCAAGATGAATAAATAAAAAGCTTGATCCAACTGCATTCTGCGTTTAAGAGACACGCTTTAGACTCAAAGACCCAGATATTATAGATTGAAAGTAAAAAGATGAAAAATGATGCATCATGGGAAAGTAACAAAGAGACAGCTGCAGGGACTGCACTAACTCCGCACAAGTAGAACCCAGGCAAAAATTACAGCTACAGATGAAGGAAATTTTTATGATGATAAAGGGTCAGCTCATCAGAAGGGCACAGTAATTATCAGTAGGTATGTACTTAATGAAGTCTCCAAACACATGAGGCAAACCTGAGAGAACCAAAGAGAAGCAGATCACAGTACTTGAAGACTTCAAGAGCCTACTTTCAGGCTGGGGACATTGCTTAGTTGGTAGAGTGCTTGCTTAGCATGCAAAAGATCCTAGGTCTCATGTCCAGCATCCCATAGAACTAAACATGGTGTCTCACACCTGTAATCCCAGCACCCTGGAAGTGGAGGCAGGAGGATCAGATATTCAAGGTCATCCTTCAGACAAACAGAGTTCAAGGCCTTCTTAGGCCACAAAAGCCCAAGTCAAAAAAAATGAAGCTTGGAGGAAGAAGGGGAGGAGGAGAAGAAGAATTTGTCATCTACTTTAAATGTTGGGCAGAAATAACTAAGGAGAAGATCACAAGTAAAGACTAGACTGATACTTTAGCTTAGACATCCATAGAAAGCTCCACTGTCAATATTAAATATACATATTTTTATGTGTATATAGAACATTCCAGGATAAGCCCAATGTTAAGGGCACAAAACAAGCATCTGTGCTCTCAGAAGGACCCAAACCATGCAATGTATGCTTTTTGACCACAATGAAATTAAGTTAGAAACTGACAGAAGGTGCAAGAAAGTCACAGGCATCTTAAGTTACGTGAAGTCACGTTCCCAGACAGCCAATGGATGGAGGAAGAAACAGCACACAAGGCCAGCTAGAAAATACTCGACGGTGAATCAAGATGAAAACACAACAGACCAAACACAGGGTGCAGCCGACGCAATGTCTGAAGGGATTCATGGCGATAGACAGCTTTATTAACCAGGAAGAAATTAAAAAACAAACAAACAAGCAACCACCCAAACCAAAAAAACAAAAACAAAACCAAACAACAGTAAGCTTCCATTATGAAGAAAATAGCAAGAGGAGAAAAATAAATCCCAAACTCGCAGAACAATAAAGGTCAGAGGGTCCCTCAAGTTCTGCCAAACCAGCCCTTCCCCATCACCATCACCCCGTCCCTGGGGATTGTCACCACAGGCCTGCCAATCACCTGGCAGGAGGATCACAGGCTGGCTGTTGGCTGGACTGCCTGCTGTCTCTTTCTACACAGATGCTTCCGCCCTGATGCCCCTGCTCCAACCTGGTTTCTGCTTGCCTTTGCTTTGCAAACCTTTGCTAGAAAACTCTCGCTCTCAGATTCTGCCTCGACATCAGGGGAGACGACTAACCTGTGTTGAGAGCAACTGTGAATTTGGATTGTTCTAAGAAGTTTATATTTAGTTCATTCTATGACTGTCCCCAGGGGAGACTCATGGTTTCTTCATGCTATAATGAGAAATGGTAGATTTGAAGGTAAAGTAGAACTTTCGATTCTATCCCTAAGGCTGTACAATAAGTTTCCATTCAGACCCAAACCTGTTGGACTCTTGTTGGTTCACGTATACTGGACTGGGTCAGAATGCTCTCCTGTTCAGAAAGCTGCCATTTGCCTCTTCCCCAAAGATTAAATCCATGCCCTCTGTGGTGTTCACATCTTCCTTGAACTGGACCCTGCCTAGCTCGCCAGCTGAACTGGCCATACTCTTCCTTTCCTTGGCTTCTCTGGGCTCTCTTTGGTCCACTTGAGTAGAGGGGTTCTTTGCCCTTGGTGGGTGTGTTTTCCAGTGTAGCATCTGCTGCTAGGCGTCTTAGAGCAGAGACTCTGCAGCTGGAGGAGGAGGGCTTTGGAAACCCTGGGATATGCTTCCTGGGTGGGAGGGGCAGAAGCCAGAGAAAGAAGAGCAGTCTGGGCATTCCTGGTGATTCACCCCAAGGAATATTATTGGGAGTATGGACCTGTCTGTATAATTGAGGTCCTTAAAGCACTTTTTGAGAGTGAAAAGGTTTATTAATCAGTATGTTGCATATATACACACACACACGTAATCACACATATGATTATATGTGCAACAGACACAAGCTGAGACTCTCCTAAGACAATGGAATACACAACTCCTGTTGTGAGTTCCACGTTCCAAGACTGTTTTCCCAGCCTCTCTTGCAGCTAGCTACTGATAGCAATGTGGTCTGGGCTCCTCTAATCAGCTGCATTTGTCAGAGGTTTCAGGTCAGAAGAGAACAGGCTGAGGAAGTAGATGCCAGGTGGAGACAAAGCTGGAGGCTGGAGAAAGGCCATAGGGTTCAAAGGCAGCAGCGACAAGAGACCTAAAGGGTGGTAGGATATGCTCCAGGTCTGTGTGCCCACGCCTGGGATAGTAGGATCATTTCTACACATGGGTGAGATCACTGACTTGGGTGTTGCTCCTGACAGTGTAGACAACCAGCTCCTTGCCTCCCCTGGAATATGTTCTCCTTAGACGTAATTAGGGCTGGGAATCCTGATTTGTGTAGTAGGGAGATGCGTATGGTGTGCGTGCAGGCGGTGGAAGGTGGTGCCTTTGAAGGTGATGGAACTGAAAGTGCTGTGTTTAGCATCCCTCCGAGGCCCGCACAGGTGTTTGTGCAGCTTCCCAGAGACTCTCAGGCTGCTGCTATGGGCAGTGGGCGTGGCTTCTGTGGAGCTTAAGGACCCGTAGGACTCACCTTCCATTTGTTTTTGCTGTTTGCACCTTCTTCCCATCTTCTTTCTGGGCTTGCTCTTTTGGGAGCTCTCCCACGACAGGCTCTGCTGCAGGGTGCCTGCCCAGGTGTGTGTATATTCACTTTGTCCAGTGACCTCAAGTCTGGAGAGGAGCTGGAAGAACCTTCCTGGCTCAGTGTTCCAGACTCAACTTGGTTTGGCCCTTGCCACTGCCTTCAAAACCCAGCTCAATGCCCTCATGCTGCTATAGTCTTCCTAGGCAGCTACCTCAGTGATGTGAGAGTCCCCTCTGTGTGCTATGAATATGTTTTATTACTATTGGTTAGTAAAGAAGCTGTTTCAGACAATGGCTTCAGCCAATGGCTTAGCAGAGTAAAGCCAAACGGGAAATCCGAATAGAGATATAGAGAGTGAATAGGCAGAGTCAAAGAGACACCATGTAGCTGCCAAGGGAGAAGGACGCTGGACCCTTGCCTGTAGACCACAGCCTCATGGCAATACACAGATTAAAAGAAATGGGTTGATTTAAGATGTAAGAGCTAGCTAGAAATACACCTGAGTCATTGGCCAAACCGTGTTATAGTTACTATAATTTCTGTGTGATTATTCAGATCTGGGCGGCTGGGAGTTTTCAGTTACTCCTCAGCACACCCCTGCCTGCTTCTGCTCCATCCTGGCCTTGCAGGTCTCACCTAGCAAGTACCGCCATGTTTCCCTTCAAATGTGCACACTTGTGGGCTGCTTTACTGGCTGGCTGATCAGTTCTTTGCAGAAGAGAGCCGGCCCCACTCTCTGGTTTCTTTCTTTGAGCCTTAGCTGAGTGGCATCTATGTAGATGTTTACATATACTTGTTGCAGTAAAAATCCAAACCGATGAAAAGTAGAGGGGGCAGGGACAGAGAGAGCCAAGAACTCCCAGACTGAGTTCATTCTGTAAGCTTAGGTCAGCCTTGACTGCTCAGGCACTCACAGCCGTGCCGGGCTGGCCAGGTTCTGCTTGTGGTCCTGCAGGGAAGGCTATTCTTCCTGTGATGTTGCAGACGGTGGCCTTGGAGAAATTCTCTCTCTCGCTTTCCATTCCTCCTGGGCATGGATCCTCCTGGGCATGACTGCAGGTATAGCTCTTGACCTAACCTTGCGGATACACTCTCGATCCAAGGCAGCGTGACCCCGAGTTGCACGGCTTCTGAGCCAGGCTGTGAAGTTCAAATCCTTGATCTTTCATTTTTAGCTGTTATACTTTAGGTGAGTTGGCGTCCCCATGCCTCAGTTTCCCCTTGTGTAAAATTGTGACACTAACATCTACATGGCGGGGAGTGGGGTACTATGGTGAGGAATAGATTAGCCATGACATATGAAATCATAGGAAGTGCTTACAGAGCTGTGAGGATGTGTGTGGAGGCAGAGTTTATCAGCAATTATTCAAAGTGGTATATTAGAGAAAACAAAATCACATATATATGGGAAACGTCCACTAGAAAGATCTCATTGTAATGCAAAGAGCTTGCTTAAGTGTCTGGGGCAAGTGTGGACCTGCAATAGACCTCTGGAAGGGGCAGGGCACTGCCTTGCAGAAAGGAAGAGGCTCCAGGTCCACCCAACTTCCTAACATTAGGAGACCAGAATCTGAGGGGCTTTTGCCACTGGGTGTCCAGCCCCTCTCAGTGTGACCCAGTCAACACCAGTCATCCCAAATGAAGTGTTGTTTGCCCCTTATTGTATCAACTGTCCGAGGCAGGTGTGTGGGAGGTTGAGGTTCGCCCAGAAAGGTCGCTGTTTGTTTTCTGGCCATTCTATCAACTCACAGCAGACACGGCTAGAGCTTGATGTATTCCACCCTTTCCTTCTGACCCCAGGGAAGGCCGTCCGTCCTAACTTCTCTGCTGCTAGAGAGAGACGTGTGGCCACTGAGGGGGACAGAAGGCATGATGGAATTCAGAGAAGAAGGTGTGAGCTGCCAGCGCCTGCTCCCCTCAGTGACTGAAGAGGAGCGTCCGTCCAGGTGGGCCTCTATTAGCATGTGTCCCTGAGTGTCTGGGGGAACGGAGACCCTAACTAAACCAGCCTACCGTGAACATGCATGTGGGCGAGAAGTACCACTGTTTATGAAGCCACACAGCACGGAGTGTGGTTTGGTTTGTTCTGGGGTGCAGCCTGCCCTGTGACTTCTGAAAGAGTCGGAAGGACTCTTCCTGGAATTCCTAGACAAGACACGCACTGGGCACTCGCCATGGTTCCAGCAAGATCTGTCATCCACACCAGTGGCTAATGTCACCATTTCTGACTGAACCAGGACTCACCTTCGCTCTGTTATCCCCTTACTCTCCCTGATAATCCCAGAATCTCCCATCCTGGCAATGCCATCTCCTAAAGACAGCCCAAATCAAACCAGATCACACCACTCTCTGGCTTAAGCCACAACCACCTTCCTCCAGGCCCCCAAGCACAGTCAAAGGCAGGCTCCCTATTGTGTCTTAACAATCTCTTCTCTGGCCCATCTCCTACGGGATTACAGCTCTGTGGGTGCCCTCCATCCCTGCGCCAGTCTCCCTCTGCCTGGTCCCTCTGCCCTCTCCCATTACCCAGGTTTCCACTGAAATGCCATCTCTGAGGGGTCTTGCCTACCTGTCGCTCTATTTCTCCATTGTGTCTCCTTATTAATGTCTTTATACCCTGATCATCTTCTGGAAACATCTTTTTCAATCTATTTACCCATTTCCTAGGTTTCCCCCACTAGCATGTAAGAGTAAATAAGGCATGGGGCCTTTCTGTTTTGTTTATGGCCGTAGCTCTAGGGTCTAGCATGATGTCTGATCCCTGGCAGTTGTTTAAACAGATTCTTGGGCGAATGGATAAATTAGAGAAGAACTCATCAGTATCACAGCTGGTGAGCCCTTCCCTTAAAGCAGGCTGCCTTTGGATTTACTAATGTCTTCTTCAGCCATTTTTTTTTGACCCCTTGTCCCTTCAACAGAGTTCAAGGCTCCCCTTGAGACAAAAGAAAGTGGCCAGAGCAGTGGTAGTAAAGACCCTCTGACGGTAGCTCTTGTCTCTGGAATGAGACATCTCTGAGATCTGGGAGGTAGCTTGTCTTTGCAATGTCACCGGGGCTGTCCTTTCTAGTACAGAGACTTCTGGAAGATTCCTCTCTCTGCAGATCAGCCAGAGAATGTTGGTGCCAGAGAGAAGTTTGGGGACCAGCATGGCTGTGACTTCTTGCTGCAGGTGGAAACTGAATCAGGGCAGTGAGGGACAGTGCCTAAGGTCGTGGCTCATTGGTTCTCTTGGACGATCCCTGCCAGAGACTTCCCCATTCTTTTAAATTCCTTAATTCCTGGGACTCTGTACCCTAGGACCACCAACGGGAGAGAGAGTCCTTCCCATTCAAGAAAGCAAAAGTGCCAAGCCCTCCCTTTCTAGACTCCTTTGCAGCTAGAGCATAGGCATGCTCCAGCTTTTGAACAATGGTTGGAAACCCAAGAGTTGGCCCTCAGGGTTGAGTTCCCAGGAGAGCACAGCAGCGCTGCCTCTGAAGGAGGCAAGGGCTTGCAATCTGAGATGCTAAGGACCAAGTAGAGTGGCTTGCTCTAATGGGAGGTGGCAGTGGTCCACACCATAAACAAGTCAGCACGTGGCCTTCCTGGGTAGCCCAGCCAGGCTTCAGACAGCCCTGCAATTCCAGAAGGTTCCCGAGAGCCCTCCAGGAGGTGGAGGGACTCTTTTCTGTGAATCAGGCATATGGTCATACCAGCTTGGAACTAAGCCTCCTCTGGGTGCTGTGCTGCTTTATTCCCTTGTGCAGCAGGAAAAGGCAGAGTGTTGGAGGAACGAGCAGTGTGCATGCGATGCAGTGGGTCTCAGGGCAAGGGCTGTGATTGGGTGAGGTGAGAGCACTCGTGACACAGTGGTCTCAGGACAAGGGCTGTGATTGGGCGAGGTGCAGAGCACACGTGACACAGTGGTCTCAGGGCAAGGCCTGTGACTGGGTGAGGAGAATGTCCCTCCTGACGTAGGTCTTGGTTTCCATCCCTAGGACTTTGGAAATTTTGTTTAAGGATCCAGGGAAAATGAGCCGCTGAAAGAGTGTAAACTTGGCCGGGGATCACACTGGTCTGCATTTCCTCTTCTGCTGAGTGCTTCCCCCGTGCTGAGCCGGCCCTTTGGGACCCAGCAGGAACAAGTAACAGAGCACGCTGGCTGGCACCAGTGTCCTCCTGATGTCTCAGGAGGTGCCAACTTCATTTCCTCTGTGCCTCTGGGACTGTCTGTACCTCCAGAGTCCTGGGGGACACTGCCAGTATTCAGTGTAAGGGGACTGAGAGGCAGAGCTCAGAGGACCTTAGAGGGACACTGGAACTGCCCAGGGGAGAGCTATCTTAGCCGTGTATACCAGTTCACCAAGGGGCCTGGAGAAAAGTCCCCAGCCTCTAGTCATCAACTTGTCAGGGCCATTTCCATAGGAACAGGGACCCTGAGAGATGAGGGCCTGAGAAGATGGGCTTTAAGGGAGCAGTCCCACCATCTTGGCCCTGAGCGCCAACATCAGGTAACACATTTAGTTTAGGATTACCAGTATAAAGAAAAGCTTTAGAGTCAGCAGACTGCGGGCCAAGTTCAACACAGCCACTACCTGCCACGTGACCCCAGCATGCTCTTGAGCTTCTGTTTCTCATTTTCCCCTCCTGGGAGAAGAATGGCAGGATGGCCCACTTCGAAGTGCTTACCTTACACCAATATTCTTGGACTGGGCTCAGGTGTGCTACCTGACACATGGGTAAAACTCCAGTGTCCCTCTGAGGTCTTCTGAGCTCTGCCACTTTCCCCTCAGTTCCCACACAGAGCGCTGGCAGGTCCCCAGGACTGTGGAGGTACAGACGGCCCTGGAGACACAGGAAAGGCAGAGACAGGCAGATTCCCAAACCCAAGATTGTCCTCTAGTTTCCGTCTCCCCTCACATGTAAAAATGTGCACACGCATCTTTCTCTTTGAGGCAGTCACTATTGGGCAGAGGTTGGGAAGAGGTACCGTGTTACCTGAGAGGCAGGAGGAGGGGACAGCAGTGGGAATTGGGCCTGGCCAGTAGGCGTACCTATGACACTGGAAGTGAATGGCTTGAGGGATCAAGGTATTTCTCAGTTTGAAACCCACTTAAAAAAAAATCGATGGTTTGTATTCAGCAGTGTTTGGTTAAAAAAAGAAAAATAGCTGCAGCCCACACCCTCACGGCAGAGAAGAGTGAGCCCCATCAATTACAGCGGGCGAAACAACAGTGGCTTGCGGCGGTTTTGTTCCTTCCGCTCCAAAAATATTAAGTCATTTAGCCTTACAAACCGAGCACTTGGTGAGTGGCGATGTCTTCATTTCCAAAGCTCCTGCCCAGCATCCTCGGGACAGTGATTTTCTCCCAGCCTGGGAGGGTCAGAAGCTGGGCCCTTGTTGCCAGGGACCGGCCATCGACTTGCCTGGTGAGCTCTCTGAGCCGCCCCAACAGCCCGACTTCCATGCGGCTTTCCCACCGGGAGGGCTTCCAGGATATAAGAGTCTGGGAGACACCCACAGCAGTCAGCAAGCATTCTAAGCGACAAGATCTGGGCATCGTCACTCTTGTTGCACCAGCAGGGACACTGAGGACACCAGCCCCACTGCTCTTTAGAGCCACTTGGGTCTCAGAGTCTCCAGCTCTCAGATCTCATGCCAGATCAGATCAGTCGGAAATGTCTGAAGTGGGACCCATGTCGGTGTGTCGTCAGAGCCTTGCAGGCGGGTCCTCCTATATCAAGGGACAATGTAGAGCCCTGCTGAGGATGGCTGTGTGAGATAGGAGTGCCCCAGAGCCAGCACAGGTGCCCTCTCTGAGTGGATTCCACCAGGAACAAAACTTCCACAGAGGTGGCAGGGTTTTTAGGGCTCGGCCCTACAGGTTCCGCTACTGGACATGTCTGCAGAGAATTAACTCCCCCTGAAGAGACTCCCAGAAGCCTGGTGCACTGCCTGGCCACTACTTCACTTCAAGTTCATTTCTGACCACAACTTAAGAGCCAGAAACTCAGGGAAACTCTCTTGTATCACACACCCTGTCCCCCTAGAAAACAATGGAACTGCTCTGTGTCTCCTTCCCATCTTTATTTCTCCCCTAAGTACTATTAGTACGGACATATACACATGTATGTATGTATGTATGTATGTATGTATGGATGGATGGATCGATTTTTGTTGAACTATATAATGAACCCAGGATCTTGCCTCTACAACTGAGCTACATCCCAAGTCCTTCTCTAATTTACATTTTTACTTTGAGACAAGGTCTCACTAAATTGAACTTCTATGTAGCCCGGGCTGGCCTCAGACTTGTGCATGTGCGTGTGCATGCATGTGTGAGTGAGTGTATGAGCCTCACACTCACAGTTTTTATTTCTATGCACCATACACATGCAGGAGCCTGCAGAGACCAGAAGAAGACAGCATCAAATCTCCTGGAATTGAAATTACAGGTGGTTGTGAGCTGCCTTATGGATGCTGGAAACTAAACCTGGGCCTTGTGAACCAGCTGCTCTTCACTGATGAGCCATCTCTCCATCCCACGGCCTCTCTATCCTTCTGCCTCTGTCTCCTGGGTGGCTGGGACACAGGCTGGTGTCACCACATCTGGCCCATACGTGTGTTTTACAAAGCAATGATGAAATAGCTTTAATGGTGTATCGGAACTGGGGGAGGGGAGTATGGACTGTAACCACGTGACAGTTCTGACATTTCTCCAACTACCGCTGAACCCACCAGTGTCCAGCCTTTCCGACCCTGAGATGTTGGGGCTGACAGTTCCCACGTCTTGAAGGTACATGATGTGATCATGTACACAACTATGTCTGGGTTAAGCACTCGCTGCTCAGCCTTCACCCTGAGCAGGGACTCCTACAAGGCCATAGTTGACAGTCTCTGCTCTCTTGATCTTGCCTCTAAGTAGTGGTCCACTCTGCATGAGATGGACAAAAAAAAAAAAAGTGCTAGAAGGAAGAGAGGCTCCAAGGTGAAAGTTCAATGACAAAGTTGGACCAAATTAAGTTCAAACAAGTGTCTTGCCCTGTGTAGTGGCGCTGCCCAGTGTAGCGATACATGCTCACAATTCTAGCCTTTGAAGGCTGAACCAGGAGGATTTTGAGTTTGAGGACAGTTTGAGTTCCATAGTAAAATCTGGCTTCAAATAGAAATTCGCTTACAGCAGGACCTGTGTGATATAAACTTAAGACAGACCACGTGAAGACGCAGGACCTCTGTGATGCTCGGCCATGCTACTTAGCGTGTGAAATCTCTGGATGGCTCCATGTCGCAGCATCTATATGTGGCCTTGATCTGGGGTGCCTTTCCTTTAGATAAGGTGTCTTCACTAGGGTTTTCTAGAGAAGGAGTCTTGGGACAACAACCAGCTTGTATTGGTTCCTGTAGCTCTGAGGCCCTGAGGTTTTAGGTCCAGATTTTGCTGTTGGAACTCCAGGCTCGCTCCTCCAGCCCCCTGCCTGCATGCTACTCCTTGGAGGCGTTGTCTCTTCTCACTCCAGTGGCCTTGAAGGCCTTGTTGTCTCTCACTCTCCTGGTTCTGGGAGCCTCTGCTCGGTCTCCCACCCGCAGTCTCTGCCCCTGCTCAGCCCTCCACAGCAGTAGCTGGTCACCTACCGGGCCAACTCTCAACTCATTTGCTGGTTCCCACCCTCCCCACCTTTCCCTGACTGCCGCTCTGACAGAGATACCCAGGCCCTTTACATGCTCTGCCCACTGGAGATCTGACCCCTGGCTGCCTGGGGAAACCCTGGGGTGAGCAGAGGCAGAGGAATGGTGGCTGGAGAGAAAACAAGGAGAGAGCAGAGGTGCCCACCTCCACACCTTCAGTGTAAGTAATCAACAAGAGCTGGTGCTGCCTCTGGGGGAGGGACCAGTGCCCTGGGCCCACACAATCTATCTCCATGGTAACCAGACTGGGAAACCTGCACAGAGCTGGCTGACTGCTAGGCTGGGGTCTATGCCTCTTTCTCCTGGTAGCTGAGTATCTGAGGGTTCTAGCCCCTCCCTACCACTCCTCCCTCTCTCTGATTTCTTTCTAGGTTGAGTAATTACTGAGCGATTCTGCTGAAATTCCTCAACTTGAGGGTCAGATGATCAGGCCTTGCTGGGTGTGGTAGCATACTTCCCAGCACTCAGGAGGCTGAGGCAAGAGGATTGCTGTAATTTCTAGGCCAATCTGGGTTACAAGAAAAGGGGGTGGGGAGAGGAGAGAGATAGGGGAGAGAAAGGGAGGGATGAAGGAAGGAGAGAAAAAAAGGAAGAAGAGGAAGGAGGAGAAGAACAGGCATCTAACTATTACCCCTGCAGTGGGAGGCAGAAAGTTCAAGGTCTTCCATGGTTACAGAGGAAGCTTGAGGTCAGCTTGGGATAGATATATGAGACCTTGTTGTTGTTGTTGTGTTGTTTTGAGATGGGGAGAGAGAAGAGGAGGAGGAAGAAGGCTCTTATGTCCTGGTTTCTGAGCACTTCCCCAGCCCTCTCAGAAGAGATAACGGGATGATTTGCTGGGCATCCACCATGCTCTGAGCCCCCTTTCCCTTTTCATATACAGTATTTTATCCCTACATCAATCACAGGTAGGGATCATTGCTGTAGTGATCCCCAAACTCTCTTCTCTAAGGGGCATTTGCTGTAGAGGGTCTATGTACAAAGCAGATAGAGTTGGCACTACTCTGGTTAACACCCCTGTCTCTGCCTTCCGGTTGGTTTTAGGGGGCATTTGTTCCCATAAGAAACCATCTGAAAGTAACAGGCTTAGCCATACTCCTTTTAAAAGTTGATTAATTATTATACTCCTTTATTTGTGTGTCTGTGTGTGTACATGTAGAGGTCAGAGGAGAACTTGTAGGAATCGGTTCCTTCCTCTACCATGTGGATGGATCTCTGGGTTGTCAGGTTTGGCAAATGCCTTTACCCAGTGAGTCATCTCTCCAACCCTGCATCATATTTTACAAGGAGGAGAAATGAAACTGAGAAAACTGAGGTCTTTTCTGAGGTCCTATAGTAAACCCAGACTTCCTGGCCCCAGATCCCAGCCCACAGTACTCTGTGCTTCATGCTTCTCCACTCTGCCTGGGGATATGTGCCTATGTGGATGGAACTCTGGCAACCTCTGTCACCTACAGAGGCAGAAGCCAGGCCTTCTGCTTATGCTGTGGTCCAGCCATGTGGCAGATGAAGAGATGTGGACTGAGCTGTTGGGCAGGTGGAGGGGGAAACCATGGAAGACGCCACTGGTGTGACTGGGTGTGTGGTCGTTAGATTCCCTTATGGAGCGATGGGTAGGCTCTCTTCTCATGCTATCAAGTTCCATTCAATTCCCTGTAATTCCAGCACTGAGGAGGCAAAGGCTGGAAGGACATGAGCTTAAGGACAGCCTGGGCTATGAAGCAAGACCCTGATTAAAAACAGATATTGTTTCCTAGTTGTGATGACCATTCTCGGTGGTCAACTTGACTCTGTCTGGAATGAACTACAATCTAGAAATGGAGGACACACTTGTGATCTGCATCTTGAGGCAGGCAGGCACACCTTTAATCTGGGCCACACTTTCTGCTGGAAGTCTATATAAGGGAATAGAAAAAGGATGGTTTCCTTCTTCTTTGATTTCTTGCCCTCACCGTGCCAACACATTCATTCCTTTACTGGCATTGGAGCCTACTTCTTCAAGATTCCAGATATACAGGAGACCAGCTGGGACACCCAGCCTCATGGGACTGAGCAATGAATGACTAGGTTCTTTGACTTTCCTAGCCATTTTGTGTGTGTGTGTGTGTGTGTATGTATGTATGATAGATAAATAGATAGATAGATATTCATTCCATAAGTTCTGTGACTCTAGAGAAGCCCGGCTAATACACTAATGCAGCAGGTTTTCTGTGTGTAAGGATGGTGGTAGCTGATCAGTTCCCTAGAAGAAGGGTCTCGGGGGAACCATTGACTGATGGGAAGTCTAGGTTGACCAGAACCCAGATCCCTCTACAGCAGGAATATGTCACCTCTTGTGGTTCGAATGAAAATATCTTAGCTTTTATAGACTCATATATTTGCTGCTTGGTCCCTAGTGGAACTGTTTGGGAAGGGTTAGGAGGTGTGGCTTTATTGGAGGAAGGGTGTTACTGGGGGCAGGCTCTGTGATTTTAAAAGCCCACACCCTTCTCAGTTCTCTCTCTCTCTCTCTCTCTCTCTCTCTCTCTCTCTCTCTCTCTCCTCTTTTTCCCTCTCTAACTTCCTCTCCCTCTCTCCTCTCTCCCTCTTCCTCTCCCTCTTTGAACTTCTGATCCTGCCTTCTCCATCTCCCCAGTGCTGGGGTGAACAGGCATATGCCTTTATGCACTCTGTGCTGGGAACTGAACCCAGGCAAACACTCTACCGTCTCAACCACATTCCTAGCCCGCCTGTGTGAAGAAATTGTTTGTTTGTTTTGGGTTTTCTACACCAGTTTTCTCTGTGTGTCCCTTACTGTCCTGGAACTTGCTTTGTAGACCAGGCTGGCCTCAAACTTAGAGATCTACCTGCCTTTGCCTCTTGAGTGCTGGAATCAAAGGCATGCATCTCTGCCACCCAGCTTGTGAAGCAATTTTTGGATTAAAGTATAGAAAGTGCTTGAGTGCTGGAGGAGGGCAGGATGGTACCCTTGGTAGAGCTATGGGGGAGGGGTAACTGGGGATGAGATGGTTCAAGTTTCATTCTAATGGAATCCCCGGGTTTTTCATCCCCCATTAGGTTTCCAGGGAGAGAAATTCTGGGGTGGAAATAGGAGCTGCCCGTGCTGGGAAAACAGGGAAGACATGGTGACCTATTCTGCTTTCTCAAGTACCCTGGACCCAAAACCAGAGGGAACTGGAGAGACTTGTAGTTCATGCCCAGTATCCCCAGAGTCTTGTGGATAGCTGTGTATAAAATCAACACCACAGCCAACTGTAAGCACGTGGCCACCATAGCCAGAGTGAGACATCTCTCTGGTCGAGAGAGAGAGAGAGAGAGAGAGAGAGAGAGAGAGAGAGAGGGAGGGAGGGAGGGGGGGAGGGAGGGAGGGAGAGAGAGAGAGAGAGAGAGAGAGAGAGAGAGAGAGGAGGCAGAGTCCACCATTGTGTCCAGCTTCAGAATCTTCTTCCCTGCATGGCTTTTTGGACTGAAGAGTCTCTCATCTGGAGTCTGCAGAAGAGCTGCTGTGGGGATGAGGGCTGGAGTGGGGGAAGAGAAGTCCTCCGGGGGTGGCTTTGGGCAGTGACATCCTAACCTCGGCAGTTCGGGGAAGCAGCGAGACAGACACTTTGAGAGAAAGCCTGGCACCTGGATATTGCACAGCGTAATGGAACCAGCCAAGTGGTAAATGTAGCTTTTAAATAGGTTTTGTGTTCCCCATTAACTGCCCTGATGTTGATTAGCCCTGACAGCTAAGAA